AAATAAAGGATTTTCTGATTGATTTTGACCATACCTACTTTACACAGGAAAACAAGACTTTTCCAGACCCAGTAATGGATGAGGTCAACTATATACACATGCCACCCAGGATGGTTGCACTTCGACCAAACAACTTCCTATACAGTCACATGGCTGTAAATTAAATCCTGTGGGTTGTGGTGAGCAGATTTCAAGATGTGTCATATACAACTCAAAATTTCATTGGTCATGTGAATGCCCTCATGCATATGAGAACAGTGATCAAGAAGTGTGAAGAAATACATCAGAAAATGTTCTGTTGTTCTTGTTTGTGGGTCATACTAATAGTGAAAGGTTGTGTTATTTTGGACACAGGGTGTTCAACTATTGTCTGTGGTAAAGGTTGGCTTCAAGAATATTTGAATTCATTAAGTGATTATGAGCGGTCTTTAATTGTGGAACAAACCTTTGCTTCTACATTTTCTTTTGGTGATGGTGTGACAGTAAAGAAATTGACTATTCCCTGTTTGATTGGAAATATGAGGTCAGAAATAACTACTGATGTTGTCAAATGTGAAATACCTTTACTTTTAAGCAAAAATTTAATATAAAAAGCAAACATGATTTTGAATTTTCAAAATGACAATCTGACTGTTGGAAAAAGAATAATTAAACTGCAACCAACTACTTCAGGCCATTATTCTTTACCTCTGTGTAGATAACTAGATAATGCTACCTGTAATTTGATCAGGTTCTCATAAATGATGGATAAAAATAAAACCGTCAACAAATTGCATATGCAGTTTGTTCACCCTAATCCCCAAAAATTCATAAAGTTGCAATGCAAATATAATCGTAAACTTGAAAATGAAATTAAATCTGTCTCAGAGAGGTGTGAAACTTGTACTAAATTCAAAGAACCCCTCCCAGACCCTTTGTCAGTCTTTCTACAGTCTCTGACAGTGTGCGACTTCTGTCAAATTCTCTGCTTTGGCAGAGAGGAACCTGGACCAAGCTTTGCCGAAGGTCAAAGTTTTGTCCGGGGAGGTAGACAGATCCCAAACCTACTTATGCAGGTTCTAAGGGAATATTATTGGCAGAGCCTACGGGCTCAGAGAAACCTACGTTAAATTCGGCCTTGTGCCACATACATTCCTTGTGGGGGGGACTGTTAAATATTGTCAGTCTTCCTACGGCAACTGAATTTAATGAAACTGTAGCTTTGGATGTGAAAATATGGAGCAAAAGTTACTTTCTTGTCATTGTGGACTTGGCAACTTGTTTTTTGTGCAGTAAGGGTGATTCAAAACAAAAGGGCTTCTACTGTTATTGGATGGTTCTTCTCCAGTTGTATAACCATTTTTGGTGCTCAAAAAAAAATAAACTATCTGACAATGTGTACAATTCAACAACAGTGAAATGTGAGAGTTTTGGTGAAGCCCTCAACATGACAGTGAAGACAAAAGCAGTAGAAAATCTTTGGAGCATGGTGGTAACGTGGTAAAATTATCACAGATACTCAATGTGATTTGGATGTTGCTCTAGCATACTCTATTTCAGCTCACATCGCACTTGTCAACAATTCTGGTTTTTCCCCTAATCAGTTGGTTTTTGGTTTTAATCCAACTGTTCCAGATATCTTCCATAATAATCTTCCTGCATTGGAACCTATCACTACATCTACTATAGTGAGGAAAAATTTGAATGCATTGCACTTTGCCTAGCAGGAAAAGCTTGAATCTAATGAAAGAATAAGAGCACTAAGGAGCAATGTCTGGGATACTAATATAAAAGATTTAAGAAATGGAGATCAAGTATACTACAAAAAGGAAGGATAGCCAAGAATGGCATGGGCCAGGTGATTGGATGTGATGGGGAAACTAATGTTAGTTTGTCATCGGGGTACATACAACAGAGTTCACTTGTCACTTGGTTAAAGATTCAAATGCTGGCCATGATTCCCATTCAGACTCTAGTGGTATTTCAAATTACAACAAACCACAAAATAATTCTTCGCAAACACATTACCCTCCCTCTCCTTACCCTCCAGAGCAATATAATAATGAAGATATTCTTCAACCTGTTCCAGAGGAACAAGAGTCTAACATTTCAACAGGGTCCAGATGTCCTCTACAAGAGGAGGCTGCTACATTTGGACCCAGGAAAGGTGGTATGTTTCTTCCTAAACCAGGAGATGATATAGAGTGCAAGTCGGCTGATGATGAAGAATCTCAGTGGAAGAGGATGAAAGTGGTGAGCAAAGATGGTAAATCCACTGGAAAAAAATAAGCACATTATGAATGTAGCATTTGAAGAAGGCGGATCTTTTTGGCTGGATTTTGAAAATGGGGTTTCAGAATGTAGGAAAAGGCAAGATGGCTGTTCAAATGGATAGTCTGCACTGAAGTCCTTTGTTTGTGACTAAAATGTAGAGAAAGCCAAAGAAAAAGAGATACAGAACTGGAGAAATAACTGGAGTTTTTGTACAGGTTCCTAATTTGGGACAGGATAGAATATCTACAAGATGGGTATATAGTGAAAAAGAGACAGGAAAAGGCCCTGTTATCAAAGCAAAACTGGTTGATCAGGGATTTCAGGATAAAGGAGCCAAAACTGTTCATACAGATTCCCTTACTTGTTCCAAGCAAGGTTTGTCCATTGTCTTAGCCATCATATCACCCTTAGGACGGACTTGCAACTCTATGGACATAAAAACTGCCATTTTACAAAGTAATGATTTTGAAAGAAATGTTTATCTTGCCCCCACCTCTCTGAAGCTAATGTACCTAGTAATTGTCTCTGGAAGCTCCACAAGTGTGTCTATGGTCTTAATGATGTTTCCAAAGCATGGTATTTGACTGTCAGAGGTGTCCTATTGGAATTGAGAGCTACCATATCTGATCAAGCATTGTTTACTTGGTATCATGGCTTCGCAAAAGTGTGAAACCCAGGGTCATAAATTCATATCCATACAACTTATTATGTTACCTCTAACACTGATATTGAGCACTTTCCACTAAGTACCATATAAAATATATATATATATATATATATATATATATATATATATATATATAAAAGTGAACAGAGGAAGTCAACTATAAAGGCAAGTCTGTTTCATGCTATATGCAATTGCATATAGCATGAAACAGACTGTGCATAATGTTGACTTCTATGGGTTTTATATTTACACATGCTCTATCTCTGATATTGAGCACTTTATCCCATAAATATAGCACACCTTAAGACTATATTTCTTTATATATATATATATATATATATATATATATATATATAATTATTTATTTAAAAAAAAATTTATAACATAAATATGTTATAAAATCACTAAAAATAGCCATTTTGTTTCAACACTCTCAGTGTCTTATCAAGTGATGATGTTGAATGTAAAATAAATGGTTTTAAAAGTTTGAATTAATTAACAATCCTTCACAAGGGGAAAACGTTGTTACAAACGCTAGATGGACCAATCAAAATACAAGTATAGGAAAATTCAAAAAGCTTGACAACGAAGTCATGTTATAATAGCTATTCAAATATTTAAAATATGGGTAGTATTAAAAAAGAATTTATTCTAACCAATAATTACTAAATTATATGATAAAATTTAATATTAAAAACTGCTAATTTCAAGATCAAAATTTAATCGCTATTAAGTTTACAACTATAAAATTACTGAGGAGAAAAGAAATATACATGTTATTCAATTTATTTCTTCATTGAAGTTACTTTAGCTAATTTTATATCCGGTCTTTTGACAATGTATCCATTTTTAATCCTAAGAGTGTGTGAATGGGGTCCTAAACTCACGCGTAAAACAAACGCAATCAGATTATAAGCACCCAGACATATTTAAATCTATATACACACACAAAAAAGAGACGAGACAGAGAACATCACCACGATCGTATAAAAAAAAAAAAAGAAGGGTGGGGGGAGGGAAAGAAACCAACGCACACGTACATACATACACTATTAAAAGTAAATGCACTTTCATACACATAGACAATAATAAATACATGCACACACATCCACAGACATTGACCCAGACAATCGGATACAACAACCAATATGTATTTCATATATACATACAAAAATCATTTTTTATTTTGTTTATCTTGGATGCTCCAGAGATCATTCTTTTTAATGTTTTTCTAACGGAATGGATGTGGGTGCCAAGGTTCAAAATAGTTTTGTTTATTAATTCACATTTTTGGATTCTATGATTTTCAGTTTCTTCTCCATACCAAGATTTCAATTTTCTACTCTGTTTCTGTTATAGTGGAACACACCTATTCTATTGTTAATAGACTCTCCCACCTATAATAAGTAGGAGTAGTAAGAATAATGAGTGAAGTCACTAAAGTCGCTAAGTCAGTTGGTCAGTCAGTCGATGTCAGACGACAGTTAGTCGAATACTAAACTATCAGCGACCACAACTAGATTTACTCTGCGTTATACCTATTTTATCAAGTTCCTAACGATTTGTACGTCGAACCTATTTTAGGACCGACTTAGTACAAATACAAGATTCCACTGTGAAACTACTCCATAACACATTTGGCGACGAGGTATTCGGATTCATACGGTGGAAGAGAAAAAAAAAAATCCACACACCATAACAGTTTCTCTGTCTTTTTTTATTATATACCATTCTATTAATGTTTTTTGTCTTTCATTTTTAACATAAAATTTTAGCATTTTTCTGCCTAATCTACCTTGCTGGCTAATGGTAATCTTAGAACTGGTGGATATTAAAAAAGAAAAAAAATGGATCCTCTCTCTAAAAAAAAAAAAATGGAAGCCTTGCACTAGTAAGTTAAATAGTTTCAGCATCCTTGCTTAGTAGGAGTTAATTAAACCAAAGAAGTCATGAAACTTACTAATTAGTAGATCCAAAGGGTGGTCCCAAATTTTTAGCTTGTCATGTATAAATTATAATGAAGATATAATAACCAAAAAATTTTGCTCAGGTGTTATAAAAAATTAAAAATATTACTTACCTTGAGATTTACAGCTTTTTACTCTCTTCAGGTGTTCAAATCCTTTCACAGGATACACAGATTGCAATTTGCTGAAAAACAAAAAAATATCACCCACTACTTACAAAAGAAATATATATATATGACAAATTGAAAACTGATTCATTGAAACCAGATTCTTCTTTTTGCCCTTTTTAGGGCTTCATCAGATCAAAAACAAAAGAAAGAAATGTGTATGTATGTATATGTGCTTAAATAATAAATTGTTAGGACTTCTTTTTCCTCTAAGCTGGTGTTTCTTGTGATGAAAGAAAAGAATGAAATTGTGTGACTTTGTAAAAAAGCTGTTAATATTTAAAATTCTGTATCTTTACAATTTTCTAGTTCTTGTTGAAATTTATTTATACACTCTGCCAGCATTTCTGAAATGAATTTAAGGTAAATCCTCATCCTATTTTCAGAATGGCTCAAAAGCAAAAGATTCCTATCACCTTTTCTGAAATTAATTTAAAGGTAAATCCTGATCCAGTTTTTCAGAATGGGTTGACAGTAAAAGATTTGTTTTTAGGTTTGTCCTTGTCTTTTCATTCTTTCCTTTCATCATGAGAAACACCAGCTTAGATGAAAAAGTACAAATGCTTTATTATTTAAGTATACACATAAATAAACACACACACACAAATACAAATTTCTTTCTTTCTTCCATTTTAGGCCTGATGAAGCCTAGCAAGGTCGAAACATGTAATCTAGTTTCAATGAAATGGTTTTCCATTTGTCATATTCTTCACACTTTGGATCCTATTTTCTACACATATATATATTTTTGGTGTGTCTACACCTAATGTTGACATCCAAAAGTGTTTGAAATGAGACATAATGTTGACTGGGAACAGTCATTTGTAACATCAACATTTTATAATTGCCTTAAAGCAGCCTCTTCTAATAAATCATGGACATAGACTATTTGTAGACTGGCTCACAATGGCAACAATATGAATAAACTTTGGTTCACAAATGCTGTTCCAGAAACTGGAACATTTGCATAGCACCAAATACAACTGATCCTTTTTTAATCTGCCAATATTGGCACCTGCCAAAGAAAAGAAACTGACCCCTTACTTATCAAAATTTATGAATATTTCTAATTGCATGAAAAATACGTAATATAAAATGGTAATAAATAAAATGTTTTCTCATTTTTTTCTATTCTGATTTTTGGAGAAATGATATCATCTATTTTGAAGACTTAATTATAAAATTCTAATTTACAATTTTACAATCAAGTCTCCTGAAGAATTAATGTAATTTCCATGAAACTCAGAGTAGAGATAAGATAAGTGAAGATTTTATTTTATTTATTAATATTACTCTGCTCAATATCAGGGATAGAGCATCTGTAAATATAAAAGTGGATACTGCAGTCAACACTGAGTTGCAACAGTCTGATTCAGACCTGATTGCAATCTTCATAGCCTGAAGATTGCGTTCAAGTATTAAACAGACTTGCCACTCAATGTTGACCTCAGGGTCTGCTTTTACGTATATATATGTGTGTGTGTGTGTTTTATCTAATCCTTTTACCAGAATGTTGTAAGATTGTCAAATACTCAAGGGGTCCAAAAAGGTCACATGAAATTCCAACAGGCTGCTGGTACCCAGCCAGCAATTGTTATCCATAACAACAATTTGGCAGGTAATTTTACCTGTTCTATCAGTTTATGTATATGTAAATCTCTCTCAGGACATCAAACCCATCCACATGTGAGGTCCATACCAGCTGAACAAGGATTCATTATTTCCCTGGGTAACATTTCAAGGCATAAGCAAAAAAAACCAAAAAAGTCATGCTTGATAAGGAGTCAGCTTTGTATACATATATCTCTTTTACAATAACATTTCTGGCCACTGCATTCTTCATTGATTTTTAGTTTTATATTGCACTAGGTAATTCTTGGGCATTGAAATATTCTCTGGAATTATTTTTTTGTTTTAGGTTGCATAATCATCAGGTGCTGTAAATTGAGAAAGTGGAAATATTTACCTAAATTTAAAAAAAATAAAAAATAAAAATAAAAACCTGTACAATATTTAAAGTGTGACTAGATATAAAAATTTATTTCTTAAAACAGATGCAACATTTAACACTTGCTAGATGCTATGTTCAAGACATCAAATGCATTAAAGTCTTGTTAGATAAAACATTTTGCACCTACCAGATGAAACATTTAAAATTTGTCAGATGCATAAAAAACCAGCCAACTTTCAGATGCAGTAATTATGACCAGCCAGATGCAACAATTACATTAAATATAACATTTAAAACTTTCAGGTAACAGATGCAATATTTAAAGCCTGCCAGGCAAATCCAATTCAACATTTAAAACCTGCCAGCTACCAAACATTTGATGCAAGTCATATGCAACATTTGAGACCTAACACAGCTAATATTTAAGATCAACTAGATAAAGCACCTGCTAATATGGAACACTTGAGTCAAACCATAAGCAACATTTAAGACCTGCCAATGACCTGATGCAACAAGTAGGAAATTCCAGATGCTACATTTAAGATCTGTCAGTAACCAGATGCAACATTTAAGGCTAGTCAGATGCAATACTTAAAACTTGCCAGCTACCAGGTGCAACATTTGAGACCAGGCATATGAAATACCTTATTAATACATAAATAAATGAAGATGTGGGGGTGCTAAAAAGTTTTCATGGAGGCACAACAAAGATGAGTTACCGTAATGCATAAAAAATACATGTTATTCCACATATTCAACCAGCAGTTCAACAAATTTGACACATCATTTCTCAAATTTAACCTTTTTAAAATAATTCTGTTTAACCACCGATTTTAGAAAGTTTATCAGGCTGAGAACTTCTCAGCACTCCAATATGTGTGTGAGTGTGTGCATTAAGCTTGTAGGTCTTGGAGAGAATTATCCTTCTTTGAACTGCACCAAATAAAAGAAACGACATCCCTTGAAGACTCAACTTTTCAACAAGAAAAATATTAAGTTGATGATTTATATTTATAGATACATCGTCTTCATTTTCAATTTTCCAAATAGGCTATTTTCCTGGTCAATATAAATAGTGTTTTAGAACTAAGAATATATATATATATATATATATATATATATATATATATATATATATATGTCTCAAGACTTGATAAGCCAAATCCATTCATTAAGAAATCATCCAGTGACAAGAATCTACAGATACTTGGGTACTTTGCCGGTGATAAAGATGCCATTTGTGCTATGGGTGGAGAACTTTGCTCATAAGATATTATGGAGCAAAACTCTTCTGCAATACCAACAGCATGTCTGGATGAAAATGTGTCAATCCAGAAGATCTGCAGATATTTTGATTCAGATAGTTGTAAAGCTGTACAACATATTTATCAAGCCTTGAGATCGTCAGCGCAGTGGTTGTGTGAGCTGTGTAGGCAGGACTTGAACAACATGGATTCTGTGGTCTGTGACTGTTGTTTTCAGTGGGTGAACCTGAAGTGTATTGGCAGGAGAATCATGCCAAGAAAAAGTTTGGGACTTGCAGAGACTGTTATGCCTGAAGTGTTTAAAATATTCAGAGACTTCTATATTTATTTTAATAATTGATGATGAATAAATGATTTTAACTTGTGTTTTAACAATTAATGGTGGAAAAGATTTTAAATTGTCTTAACAATTGATGGTGAAAATAAGTTACTTTTTTTAATTTACAAGCAGTCAAGGCAATGAAAAGTTCTCACCTGATTCACTTGGCCAAATCTGACTGAACATCAAATTTTTTTTTAAATACTACTAGGTCAGACTGAAAACTTTTCAACACTCACTTGAAAGGCTTAAACATCTTTGTAATATATTTTTATTTTAAAAATCAATGACTAAAACAATGTGACATAGTACTCACAAGTCCCATATACAATATGGGGACTGAAAGAAATGCTAAAATATAACAAGTGTTTATGTTTTTATTAATATTTGATTGCAATACAAGGTCATCTCATCAACAATAAGACAATCATGTCTATATGTTAAGAATGCAATGTCAAGCCATCTTGATTTTGACAAACAAAGTCCAAGAGAATATTTTAGAAGACATGTCCAGGTTGGAACAACTTGAGACAATTAATACACGGTAGAGGGGGTAGTAATAAGAATGTCCTGAGTTGAAAAGTTTTAAAAAATTGAGGAACATTGATTCAGGCCCCAAGTAATAGTAATTTACCTGATTATTTTCATGGTTTGCTTTTTATCTGAAATTGGACAGGAAACTGCATCCACTGAAAAATCAATTTTAAAAAGATCTTAAACATAATGAATGAGATATTGATGGTAATTAGTACATAGATATTTTATTAATTTAATTAAAAAATGCTGCTGTTCTGTCAATTTAAGAGATTCAGCATGAATAAAATTGTTTTTAGTCTTAGTCCATGGCCCACAATTTATTAAGAAACCTTAGTTGTGACCCACTGAATTTCCCTGGCACCCACCTAAATTACCACCTGTAGGTCCTGGGACTCACTATATTAAAAACCTATCAGCAAACTCTCTCTCTCTCTCTCTATATATATATATATATATATATATATATATATATATATATATGATTAATACAAATATAAAGGCTGATTGATGTTATATTCAGCACCCCGACTCCAGAGTTTCATAGACAAACATTTTTGTAATCATTGAGTCAGGAGATTTCGGCATTTGACTGCCAATTTTTCTCATTTTCGTTATTTTTATATAAAGTTAAAAAAATTATTTATGTGCTATTTATTGGTGTTAGGTTCATTTTTTTTTCTCTTTCTGTATGCACGTGTGTGTAGAATGTCGTTATTTCGCCTTTTCCTAATTTTCTTGTCTCCTTATATTCTTTCCCTATTCCTTTTCCTCATTTTTTTTCTCTCTTTCACCTTTGAATGTCAGAGACTGTAACAATGTCATTATCATTTATGGTATCACAGACAGAACTTTTTGGCCATTTAGGGAAATTTGTTTTCTTGAATGTTTCTGGAATTTTCTTATGTTTAGGAAAGATAGGTATATTCCATTTTTTATTTATTTCTTATTTAAATATATTTTTTTAATTAATGGTTAAATGGCAAAGTAAATATTGGTTTATTTTTATGGGAAGATGCTGTTAGAGTGGAACTTACTCCTTACTAATGGAATACAAAGAGATTGAGGATGGATCACCTCAGTGTATGTGGCATGGTAGATTTTAGCTGGTAGGGTTAGGGTTGGGGAAAATTAGCAATGTAGCTTATCAGAACATTTTCCATTGAAATAGCTATAGAGTTGTGAGAGGCTTGCAATGTTTCATTTGTAGGAAGATGGTTGTAGGATGTAAATTCATCACCCACAAGACCATGCAGACCCTTTTAAACTGAAAAACCCAGTATCTGTCTATATTTCTGAGATGAGAGATCTCATCACTATTTACATTATTCAGACTATTGTCCTCATCTTTGTTGTCATATTTTACATTTCGGCCATTGTACACTCCGGCCTCCTTCAGGTGGTTGGAATGTCAAACTGAACCCTTTATTTTGCTCACTGTGGATGACCACATATGGAGAGAAAAGGGAGATCACCACCCTCTTTGGGATCAGGTTGAGATCACAAAGAACACCATATTTTGCCGACCCCATAATGTTCAATTCGTACACTCGAGATTTTTTTCAGTAATTTCTTTGAAGCGTTCTTCGTAGTGTAATGATAAAATCCCGTAAATTTGCACCCATTCTCTACAATATAGGAGGAGGAGTCTCTTTGTTAATTAAACAAGTGAGATTTGTCCAAAATTAATTTCGCTTCTTAGTTTTGTTACGAACGAAACCACGTGCACAAGCACATGTCTCCTTCTTTTCGGCTTTGCGTACTTGAGTGATAAGAAACAATTTTGAATACGTTTACGAAATTGTTTATGAGTAATAATATTGAATGTCATATATTGCTTTGTGAAAAATACATCAAACGATTAACAAACAATGATTAACTTGACAACTCCCGAAAAATAAGCATTTTTTTAAAAACTACACTCAACCAATATCACAATATTTTTTTTAAAAAAGGGAACTTACTGAATTTCACCGGTTCGTAATAAATATCATCCAAAACGGCTTCAATCGGCATTTTCTTCGAAAAAAATGTTAACTAATATTTGCGAAAATGGATAATTGTGTCGATAAAAATTATTGTAAAAACCAATCGGTAGAAAAATAAAAAACCTAAAATATTTTTAAAATTCATAAAATCATTTTCTCTGATTAAAAACTTGTACTTCACGCTGGTGTTGATTTGAAATGAAAGTGTTATTATGAAGGTGATCACGTGATATCAAGAGGAGTTACCTCCCTTCCACCAAGAAAAAAATTATATTTTGAAGAGTATATAAAACTTAATTTTTTTTAATCATTTCCTCCCAAACAAGGCAAAGAAGCCACAAAGAGGTTATTGAGTATGAAAATAAAATGTTATTAAAGAGTGCGAACAATAAAAGAGGAATCTTTAAATACATTAAGATTATTTGCCTTTCATATTTATTTTAAAAATGTTGAAAGTATTTTATTATTGAAGTTTGTTTACACTGTAAACTTTACACTACAGACAAACGAAACCTCTCATCAGCGTACTAAGGGACTCGTTAAAGCCGATTGTCTGTAGAAGGGAAGGGATTTATTTTTTATTTTTAGTTAAAATCATTAGAAACTACCAGCAGTTATGAACATAGCATAAATAAATATATTCTTAATAAGCAAAATAACACAAATAATAGACTCCTCCTCACAGCTACTTTCACACGCACGCGCACTAAATGCATTGTACTTTCTGTACACGCGGTACACCCATCTTTGTTTATAATTGAAAGGGCCGCCGCCACTGATGTCCAAAAGGTCACTTTGAGAACTAATATGACCCGTTCCACTAATCGCGCAAATTTGGAAATACATCGTTAACGATTCGGAAGTTTGTTTTTTTTTCCTGTAAATTTTTTAAAATATTTGCCTGCAGATTTTGTCCGTTGCATCCGACGTCCGCTGATAGAGTGGGGGAGGGCTTTGTTGAGAGGTTTGTCAGTATTTGTATAATCCCTTTTCCAAATATGCGAAAAATAATCGGACATTGAACAAAATTACTGATTTTTTTTTTAGTCTATTGTTATTTTTTACATTTAAGAATAATTATCCATTTGTTCTTTACTGTTCTATGCTAATTAAATTAGAGTTCCATGCTTATAGCAATCAAATGTTCTTAGTACACATTTCTGGCACAGGGCTCCGTCCATGTGATATCACGGCTACGACTGGCTTGGACCAGCTATGACAAGCCAAGACCAGCAATGACCAGCTAAGACCAGCGACCCGAGTGAAAACACTCGGGTCCCCACGTTAAAAACTGACCTTGTGTTACAACCTGACTCAAGGGGGGGGGTTCAAGTAAAAAATCTCACTTCTTTATCACTACTATCAGGCTCCGCTCAGCACTCACAATTTGTATTTATAAATAAATAAATTTATTTATTATGAAATAAATTTGTTCACTTTGCTGTTGAAAATTTTGGGTGAAATAAATCTTTGTTTTGTTATGTGAATATGACTTTTTTATGCTTTTACGTTCTTTTTAGATACAAATATTTATTTTATAATAAACAGTATTAACAACATTTACCGGCCTGAATGTCCGAAAAATTTTCATAGAAAATATGCGTCCTCTGACAGGAATCGAACCTGTATCCTACGGAAACGTCATATAGCCTGGCGTACTTTTACTGATTTAGCCACAGAGGAGCATTTCGGTTAGCAAGATCGATTTTACTGTTTTTAAACTACAATTCTTCATGATTTTCTCTCATATCTTCATATCTGCTCGATCCGTATCCAAATGTAAACAAATTACGTCACACATTATGAAATGGACAAAGTCCGACAGTTATTTTAAGACATTTTTATGTTTATACGTTCTTTTTATCGATAAAAATAAACATAAAGACATATGATAAACATAAAAATGTCTTAAAAATAATTGTCGGACTTTGTCCATTTCATAGTGTAACCCGGATATAAGAGAGTTGTCGGGACCGGAGAAGAAGTATCTTATATCCGGGTTTCTCTTAGATCCGGGTTTGGTCTATTTTGTTTAGGTAAGTATGGGCTCTAATTTGGGACCAGAGAAAATCTCTCATATCCGGGTTTCTCTTATATCCGGGTTATATATATATATATATATATCGTGCTGTGGCCCTCGACATCTCCAAAGCATTCGATAGGGTTTGGCACGCCGGCCTTCTTCGTAAGCTCCAGGGGTATGGTGTTACTGGTCAACTGTTTGATCTAATACAATCATTCCTGTCTAACCGAGAATTGAAGGTCGTTCTCAACGGATTCTCCTCCAGTTCCTATCCTACTAACGCAGGTGTGCCCCAAGGCTCCATCCTTGGCCCCACTCTTTTCCTTATTTTCATCAATGACCTTCCTGACGACATAGATTCCCAAGTCGGCATCTATGCAGACGACACTACAATTTACTCCTGCCTCAAAAACAAATCTAGTGTCGGCGACAAAACTAACCTTGCCGTGCGTCTTGAAATGGGCCTCCAATCGGTTGTTAACTGGGGCAAGAATTGGCTGGTCAACTTTAACGCCACAAAAACTAAATTACTCTCCATTAACCACCATAGAGATCCTTCCCTGCCCCCCATTAAAATGTCTGATAGTCAACTTCCTGAGAGCAACTCCCTGCGTCTGCTCGGTCTCACGCTGACTTCTGACCTGAGATGGAACAAATACATTGAGTCAATTGCTTCTTCCACCGCGAGGAAAGTTGGCTCTCTGTGCCGCGCCAGGAAATTTTTCTCCCCTGAATCGATACTTCAAATATACAAAACAACCGTTCGCCCTTGCATGGAGTATTGCTGCCATATATGGGCTGGAGCACCTTCTGCTTACCTCGGAGTTCTTGACAAGATCCAGAGACGGATATGTAATCTAATTGGCCCTGATCTGGCATCTCGTCTGCAGTCACTCTCTCACAGACGCGACGTCGCCTCTCTCTGTCTTTTCTACAAATACTTCCATGGTAATTGCTCTGATGAGCTGCTCTCTCTGGTTCCCAGACTCCATGTATTCAAGCGCCCTACGAGGCTGGCATCCCGCTCTCACCCTTACACCGTAGAAACCTTCAAATGTAGCCGTCTCTTCTACTCCAATAGCTTCATACCTCGCACCTCTCGCCAGTGGAACACCCTCCCCAATTACTGTTTCCCTGAAAGCTATAATCTCCAACTATTCAAATGTAATGTCAATCGACATCTCCAATTACCTTGATCCTTCTCCTCTTCCTTTCTCCTATCACTCTTATCTGCTCTCGCTCCAAATCTTCCGCAACCCCTGCATCCTAGTGGCTTCACGCCTTGCTTGGGGCACAATGCTTAAATATATATATATATATATATATATATATATATATATATATATATATATATATAAAAGACACTTTTGTCAGTAAGTGGCAAGTCTGTTTAATCTTTGAATACAATCTTCAGGCCTTATGTGATAGGTAGTAGTAGCATATATAAATATTCAGTCTACTACCCTAGCCTGAAAATTGTGTTCAAGCATGAAACAGAGTGTTGCCAGTTAGTGTTGACCTCAGTGTCCAACTCTATCCCAGATATTGAACACATTTACCCATAAATATAGCTTACGTTTAAACTATATATGTGTGTGTGCGTGTGTATCGTTTAAAATTTTTCCTATATTTATCATAGAAGAGTGCTCAATATCAGTGCTTGTAGTATAGACAGGAATTGCCACTGAATAGTGATTGTCAGTTTTATGCCTGAGTGTAATTTTAAGTCAATCTTCTGAAAATTGCGTAGAGGTGTGAAAAATTGATAGTTTTTTTTTTTTTTTTTAAATATTTGTCATTAAAATAAGGCCATTTTAATGATAGAATCATAAGTCAATGGTTTGAAGTAGCCAATGTTGGACTTAGAATATGCGCTAATACCCATTTCATATAGCCACAAAATTCCCCTATAATTGGTCAAATTTCAAAATTTTCTCAGGAGCATGCAGCAACCCAACACCTAGCAGTATGGGTTCATTGTATTCATTAGAATATATTCATAGCCTACATTTTGACAGTTGCATCCTCAAATCTATTGTTGGTTGCAAAGGGGCCCTCATATCTATTCAAGCTTCAGGGCCCCCCAAAAATATGGATCCATCACTGCTTTTGAGATCAGCTGCCAATTTGACCTTATTGAACCAATATGCAAAGTTTCCATTGTGGCTCTTGAAGAGGTTGAACTCTATCTTCGCAAGGTCACTAAAAATAAAACTGGTACAAACGGAGTGGGTGTGATGTAAAAAATATTTTTTAGTCAATCACATTTGACTTAAAGTAAATTAAACTTTTTAAAAAATTACAATCTTCCAAATATTTATAAAAAATATTTTTCAGTAATTGAATTGGTTAGATGTAACCCTAATTTCTATGCCAACAGCTTATTTTCTCGCACTTCTTGTTTGTGGATTTCCCTTCTGGCTCCATGCTTTCCAGTGAACTTTAATCTTCAAAAATTTAAATGCAATGTCAATTTCTATCTACTGCCCTTCTAATTAATATTCTCTTGTTCTCACTCCTTAATAATTTTTCTGTTTTCTAATTCTTCCACACCAAGTAACACCTTGTGTCTTAGTGGCTTTACTGCCTTGCATGGGGAGAATTCAATAAAAAAAAAAGCTAGTCAACGCTGCCGTCGATTCTATCCTGAAAAAAATCAGAACTCACCATAATTGAAGAATACCAGCTATAAACGGCTATTTATTGCTTTATGACAAACCAGAAGAGAAACATCAAATGACTCGATGAATATTAACAGAAAATAAACATGATTTGGCTGGTCGTGAAATTATCAGTGACCTCTTTTTATCACCTACAGTGTGAACAGGTGTTAACGTTTATTTTTTTTTTTTTTGTTTTGTTTTTTGTTTCTTAAAATGAAACTTTTTCACGAATTCTCATTTCCTCGAAATCTAAGTAATAAAAATAAAAGTAAAACATTTCTTTTTTATGGATGGTCACAGCTCACTAAAGTTTTATTTTTCTTTATTATCTGATAATTCCTT